AGTAATAAACATAAAACTGATACAACATATGAATAAGTGTAATAAAGTTGCGTAGGTTAATTTCTTTCGGCACTTTAATCCACAACATTCCTGTTGTCTTCAAGGATGTGTTTTTATATTCTCGTACAATACAATAATGATAATTACTTTATTTTTCGTGGTATTTATAAGAAATCATGTTCTTTTTATTATAAACTCAGATAAGTTATTTTCTACGTGCTTACGAGTTTTTGTTTACTACAGTTGACATCATAGCATAGACAATCTATAGACTAAAATGGCTGACAGCGTTTTTGTATGTCCATGAAAATTCTATTTTAAAATTAAAGATTTGTAGCTTTCTAGGTCTCAAAAAAATACAATACATTTTTTTTCGGTCTACTAGAACATTAATTAACCATTTACAACCTTTTTCCAAAAAGGGTCAACTAGCCTATTGAATAAGATACCGAATTTCAATTTGTTTTTACTTAATAACTTTTATTCAACGCTTTATAAATTACTTCAGCTAAAATCGATTATCGGTGCTTACTCTTTTCTTCCACTACAATTTATTAGCGTTAGACATCGTTACTTTAAAATTTATGCTTCAGCTAAAATCAGCTATCCATGTTTAACCGTCTCTTCCGTACACAGATCGCGCGCTAGGGAGTGAGTTGCTCACTTTATTCAGTCATTGTTGAATCGCGCGCTGGGCAACAATGTTATTTTTTTTTTATTAATCACTAATTAACATTACTGGGTGAACTATTCTGCGTATTTGGTTTAAAATTATAACCACTAAGAAAGATAACGAAAAATAAACTTGATAAAAAAATTGATTTCAATTTAACTTTAACATTTATTTTATTTCATCGTGTTCAGCGCAAAATTTGCATTTAAAACATATATTTGCAATATGCAATACATATTCTTATACATTATCATATAATAAAATTGAAATAATTTTTTTTGTCAAGAATATTATATGAAAAAGGTAATAAAAAAATGCCCGAAACATATTAATTAAATCCCAATGAATCATGTGGAGGTGAACTAACCAAGCAAAAAAAAAAATACACGGCATTGCTCAGAGCGGCAGTGCAATGTGCTGATAAATGATTTTGACTTTTTTTCTTAGTTAAGTAGGTACTTCTCAACCTTGTCAAAAAGAATTATTGAGTAATGGGCTCTATTCCATATAATAAAAAAATACGAAGTGGCATTTATCATCACGGGAACCTGTCTGAAACCCAATTCCTCTCGTAAAATTACTTCCCCTGTAGTTACATTTATTTTTTCGATTGAAATTAACTTTTATATCATTAATATATAATATAGCCTATTAACAAAACCTACTACTGTTTGTTTACCTTCTTCCTTATACATGTAACAAGCACTCAAGTTTTGTCCTGGAAAAAGTTATCATTTTTGTGAAATAGGTTCATCTACATTGCGTTGTTGTGTCCCGTTTGTCAGTGCTCACTTCGAGCCAGTCCGCCTTCGCTGAGCACACGCACGCGCAACAACGTCATTGTGGATTCCCGCCAAATAGTTAGTATACCATTTCAGTGATATGGGGACAATTGATTCGGTGGACAGTAATGCTGATAAGAGTCCAGGGAATGAAAGTATCGCCGAAATGATACATCCATAAGTTTTCAGAGATCCTTGAGTCAATATAGGTATATTAAATAGTTTCGGTTTATGATGTACATTTATCTAGATACCGTATATTTCGGGTGCAGTAGTATTTCTATATAAAATATCTAGTTTAAAAAAGTATATTAAAGTTAAAGCGGACGAATTCGTTGGCGGCCGATAGTATTCCTAATTAAATAAGTGTAAAAAAATCAGTATTATTCATCTGCACTTGACTCGCTTTCACATGATGAGTCAGCAGAATGGTTTCTGAAGGAAAACGATCAGATTGGCTTGTTTTTGTAGCCAAAGATCTGTATAATCCATGGTACTCTTCAGGTATGACACCTTTGTTGCACAAATCATCAAGATCTTTTTTCTTTGCTATAGATATTTTTTTTATAAATAGGTTCGACAAATGACTCCACCAGAGGTTAGGTGACGGAGGAGTCTAGACGCGAAGATAGCTGGTACAGCAGTATTACTTGCCACACCAGCTATCCTCATTTTGCCGGCCTGCAGAATTGCTACTTCACACACGTAAGAGGGCAAAGTAATCCATTTGCGGATAGTCTGACAAAGAAATGAGTTACCAAATTTCTTTGTTCACGTTGGAATAGTGGGAATAGTAGTTCACAGTTAGTCGGTTACAATGTAGGCCAGCGCGTGTAGATTTCTGTAGGAAAGGGAAAGGTAGGTTAAGGGACAATAACTTCTCAAAACATGCGCCATGATAAAGACGATAAAAAGCGCTTAATAACGCCACATCACGGCGTAATTGAAGAGGCTCGAGGTGTTTAGTCACCTCTTTATCGCCAAAGATGCGGATCGCGCGCCGCTGTAACCTATCCAAAGCATCAAAAAAGTACTTGACGCTTACACTTACACGCAAGACCGTACTTACGTCATGTACAACAAGCACAGTTGCTCAGGCGTGAAAAAACGTTAGTTTTACCGTGAAAGCGCAGACCTGGGCTTTCTTGGTAATGAACTTAACCAAGTGCTTGGTACCGCATTCCGAAATGCAGTCCAAATCTTCATTGAGTTCAATGACAAGATTCTCCCGTTTCTCTTTGGTTTCTACCTGTCCAGCGGCTGCGTATCCAAAATATCCCGTATGCACTGTATTATCGTCTGCATAGCAATGAATATTCTTAAGAGGAATTAAATCATTGAATGCAGCAAAATGAGTGTAGGGGATAGGACGGAGTCCTGAGAAACACCGGCATTCACTGACATGAACTGCGAACTACATTAGTCGCCGTCCGTTGACGTTCATGCAGGAAGTCAGTCACTCAGGCATAGAACTGAGTAGGCAGACCGTATCCAGGAAGCTTGGAGAGAAGACTTATGTGCCAGACCCTATCAAAGCCTTAGCGATGTTAAGGCTGATAGCCAAAGACTCACCTCGCTTATTGATAGCCTCACCTCAGATATATGTCACGTACGCTAGAAGGTCACCTGTCGATCGATTCGGTCTATCCTCTTTTACTTGCCTCAAATATAACGCAAACATATTATATGTATTTTTTTGCACAAAGCGACAGATGTGTTAGTTTTTACTTCATCTAGTAAAATTAAAATATCTGGTAAAATTCAAACAGTCAAAGCCAATTACAGGATACTCACAGGATATTTACTCTAAGTGTCTACATGAAAAATGAGTTTAAATCCGAAATTTTGGTTTCAGCGGTAATACATTTACCAACTTTGTGGTGAACTGTTAATCACGTGTTCTACGTGATGATAATCATCCCCGATACGATTAGGTATTTAAGCCCTAAGCACGTCGTATACGTATTATAAGTAATATATAAGATGTAGGTTAAGTTAATAAAATGTTGATATCACATTGAACGCTCGTCGTGATTTCTCCCGAGTCACCCACACTCCATCACCATAACTTAGGTGTTTTGAATGGGTTTATTAGGTTTTAAATCAAGAATTTTGGAAATAATTTGCAGTTATTCTGTTTATTCATTAGCTATTTCAGGAAGTATGCGTCGTAGGGCATAATGGGTTTTACCTGTAGATGCGGCTTAATGACACGGGTCGATTGGTATTATAAAAGTTCAGTAGTGGAAAAGTGCAGATAATCGGTTTTGACACTAAGGGGACGATTTACTAACTAATAAACTTCTCGCTTTCTAAACGCGCTTTGTTCGTTATTTTGAAAATGTACAATACAATAATTATAATTATTAATAATAATTAATAGGAGTAACAATTAATTAATTCTTCATTAATAATTCTTATTAAAAAATAATGAACAAAAATATTTACAAAGAATAAGGAAATTTATTTAAATTTAAAATAGGGAACCCTTCTACTACAAAGGCGATGTTCTTGGCTGTATCATTTCGGTGGTCATTTTTTACCATTTCGGTAGTCAATTTTCATTTCAGTGGACTGCCGAAAACTCATGCTTAAATATTTCAGTAAGTGGTGATTGTTGAATTTGACCCGTAGGATCGTTTAAAAATGGAAAAAACCATTAGCAATATATTTTCTTTTTTTATTTTGCACCTTTAATTGCATTTTGTGCAAAGACTATGGGAGATGCGCAAAAATATGTCGATACCTTTTTTGTAGAAAATTAAATTTTCTACAACGTTGTACTAGGATTTTTTTCTATTTTTCCAGCCAGTCTCGTTTTTGCACCATTTCGCATTTTTTTTTCACCCTTTGCCGTCAATGCAGCACCCTGCAATTTTAGTATATTAATCTACGAACCCTTGCGGAAATTTTCGTGTTGGTTGCAGGTGATCAACTCAAAATGGCAAAGTTAAGCCTTCATTGACTGGACTAATTATAAACTAAAGTATTCTATAGTTTCGCTCATTCACATAAATAAATAAAACAAATCTACCCTCAGGTACGACGCAATTATTTAAGAAAGTTACTGTACCATATAAGGTACGGACGGTCTATATGGGTTAAGGTGAACGAGACGAAAATATATAACTAAGATTTTCTTTTGTCGGTGTACAAAGATAATAGAAAAGTAAAGGGGTTTGAAAATAATACTGAGAAATTAAAAGAAAAAAAAAGTATTTTAGCAATAAAGTATTTTTCAAAATACTAAAATACTGGAAAAAAAGATAAGTATTTTGTATCTTGTATCTGTATCTTAGATACTTTTAACTTAGATAAGTCACATTTCTGCATTTAAATGTGTTGGTGTGAAGTATATCTAATTTCCAAAACTCTGGAACAAAACTCTGTACAGACGCTTGCTTAAAATGGAGCTTCCGTAATCGCTAATGAGGCTTGAGAATTCCCTAAAATACGATGGATTTGGGTCCCACCTACAGTAGAGAGACCACTGAGAAATAATATTTGAAAAAGGTATATGAAAATACTTAAACGGTCATAGTTACATAAGCTCTCGACGTTGGAAGTCATCTTCTGGCTTTCGTCAGCTAGCTTTGGCAAAGTCTGCGCCCATGCTTTGCTGGCCTCCAGGTCGGCACCCAGTTGCGACATGATATCGAGAGTATTCTTCACGGTAGTGTTCACACGGTCCGCTTTAGTGATTTCATCTTGGAGTGAGGTTTTAGCCGACTTCGGTAAAGACCTGTTGCGATCGGAAGCGATATTGTAGACACAAATGCATAAGTATAAAGTATTGACAGTGTAACGACACAATAACTTTGTTAATGATCTCTGCTATTCGCAGAAAGTTGATTGAATTATTTTTGGGTGGTAGAAGACAATTCAATTTAGACGATTCACAAAGTTGTATTATGTATCCGATGGGCTATGTATGCGAAGGTAGGCAGGCCTGGTACTCACAGTTGAACCGCGTGATCATCGTCATCGGCTGCGGTTAGGGTGGCACCGGCTGCAGTAAGAGCGGTGGCGGCGGCGGTGAGGTTCGGACGCAGCTGCTCCTCTACTCCGCTATGGGCGGACGATGCATGCGAAAGTAGCAATTGCGATCGGTTTAGCGCGGGACCTCCTCGCTCGTTCAGCAAATTTTTCTGGTAACCAAGACAACTCTCGATAACAAAACTTTTTTCTAGGTTAGTAAGTAAGTAGATTGTTCTCGTAACTATACTACTATTACTTGTTAAAAACGAAAAGCTACTTCCGTTAGCAAATCTATGGCGGCAGACCTTGTACTGTGAAGTACAGGAACTCAGCAAGGGCTGCTGTTTTGTTTGTATGAAAGAGTTTTTGTGTTTAGCTGAATAAGAGGTCATACTTAATTTTTGTACACGTTCCTTCATTTAAATAATCTCATGACCTATTATGTCCAGTCCACACTGCTAGAACAGAAGTCTTTCCTAAGGACAAAATCACAAAAGGAGAACAAGGCACCATAACCCACTACGCGGGCACAGTGGCGTACATCAATATTGTTCTTCCAAAGTAAAACTTTTCCTGAAAAAACTTTTTTTACTTACAACGCCAGTGGTGTTGTAGACAGCTGCTTCCGCGGCGTCCGCCGCCTGTTTGGCATCGTTGATCTCTTGCACGATGGACGAGAATGCTGACGCAGCGCTGTACGCGTCTTTGGTACGCGTGTTGTTGTTTTCTCTCTCGGCCAGAGCGCGTAAGTTGTCCGCCTATTGAGTTTAAAATCAGAAGATCTAAGGTTACAAATACATAGTATTTGTAATTGCAAATACATATAACCAGAAATATAAGTATGTATTTATATTTAAACATTTAACTGCTAGATGTTTAAATCTAATGAAAATTTACTAGAAACAATTCCACACGGACCAGGTAGCAGGCGGGATTCGAACCCCGCACCCTTCGCTATCCGGGCCAATGCACTGACCATTATGCTGCCTGTCCGTGTGGATTTTTTTCTAGTAAAATTTCTTTAGATTTAAATATGTACCTATATATATTTGTTTCTTAGGTTTTCTTTCAAATTAAATAAAAGTTTGATTCTGATGACGTAGCCTGTAAAGGCTACGAAACGTCAATAAATAAATAAAGTTTCGTGCATTAACCCGTAAAAACTAGTTTTATTTAATGTACCTATATAATTATGTATTTTTTGCAGATATAGTTGGAAAGTGTCTGGATAGTCAATTTTGAATAAATGTTGAAAGCTGGTGTTGTTATTTTCTTCATTATATAGAATGCTTTCTTATATTACAGTATATTTACTATAGTTGATGGTCAATTGAAAGCAGACAGTTAAAAAAAATGTAACATGTAACGGCCATTCACCAAGGTTGTTTCATGGGTAAGGCACGCCTGGTAATGCCACTGTCTTATTCTAAAAGTTAATTTGAAGTATTCCAGCGGTGCCCTAAAGCACCAATTTATTGGCACGTGTATTTTACGTGAATATTGGCAGCGACTTTAACTATCTGACAAAAAAGTAGTTGATAATATTACTAAAAATCATGAATAAGAAAATTTATTTTTTCTTTTGTCACATGACGGACCTACATATTTTGCAATTATTAGTGTGCACACTCAATGGAGACCTCATACAAGGGCACTTACTTCTGCCAAAGTTATGTGGGATTACAGCATAGCAAGTCCCCAGACGTCGACTATATATATCGTTTTACTAAATTTATCATCCGACCGTGACATTACACTAACGTGCCCAATTAAAACGCGACTCTCCTTCCTCGACGCACGCTGACAACTTTGGCGATTTCGATTCCAAACAAAAAATTTGTTTGTTTGGCGACCGCCGGTGGTGGTTTTATGTGTTACTGGTATTAAGTTCGCAATGAGGGTGTTTATGAAAATTTACGTCATCAGTTGGCACCGCGTTGTGATATGACATCATTTATATTAAGTTTTTGGCGCGAACTAATCGAACGTGCATTTAAATTGATCATTAGACTATGAAGACATATGCGATTTGACGGATGACTAGACATTTCGTCTCAGTGCTGCCACCTAGTGCCCGTCACTCCAGAAAACCCTCATTGGGTAAACTCACCCTATTCCTCAAGATGTTTGCGTGGTGGAGTGCCTCGTTCACGATATCATGAAGCACCGGTATTTCCTGAGCCAAGTTGGTGATTCTCTCGTCCATATTGATGTTGGCGTTGCGATTGACGTCCAGGGTATTACTGGAGGCGTTTACGACGCCAGCAGCGGAGGAATGTTCCGCTCCAGCATGCTTCACGTGCACCGCCGCGTCGATCAGATCATTCATTGCCGAAGTGTACAGATTCGATACGGATTGCACTTTAGTACCGAATTTCGATTGTCTACGAAGAACGAGAAAACATACAATAACTACGAAGACATTGAAAACTGACGACAATTGTACCACTTGCTGAGAAATATATGAGTACAGATATATATGAGTACAGACAGAATACAGATAAAACAGTTAAAGGCCTCTTGTTGTTTTAAGGGACACAGTGCGGTTTGATATGCTTGTTTAAAGTCTAGCAACGCATCGGTAAGAAAGACAAATATATTCCACTAGCTAGGTATCCGGTAAAACAACGTAAGAAAAATTATACGCGAGTCTTGTTATAAAAATGAGAAGTTCATTTCTATGCCTATAATTAAATCCTATAAAAAAGTTCACCTGTTCTTAGCGTTGAGCTTTTCTGCTGAATTCGCGGTATGCTGCGCTTGATCCGTGTACTTCAGTAGATCTTCTAGCTTGTTTTTCAGCGCGTGTGTGGCATTCACGAGTCCTTCGAATTTCTATGAAGACACAGAGAAGGAATTATCAGTTTTAAGGAGGATTGATTTCACCTTATATCTATAATATTTCACGAGGATAATCACAGGTAATGAATTAATTTATTTATCGTGTTATCTAAATGCACCTTTTCACAGACCTCGTACCAGTCCACACTGTACTTGTATATTGTATATGGGTAAGGACCTAAAATACTTATTATTATAGTATTTTACTTTCAGTAATTTTTTGAAGCAATATCTACAATAGCAAAAACCAACCTTGGCCTGTTTATTCACCGGGTTTACGAAGATGTTCATGCGTTCTATTTGCGATGTCGAGTTGCCGAATACGCTGTTTGCTAACTGGTTATCGCTGTCCAACTTCTTTTCTGTAGGTTTAAGTAAGAAAAAGTTAGATTAATCATGTAATATTTTTTTAAGATTTAACTGCTGATTAATTATTATTGTATTGTAGTTCATTTATTTGTATCTTGAGTATCTTATAACTTCTAAAGAAGTTTCCTTATAAAAAATTTCTAGTATTACTATATTTTAGCGATTTGTAGCAATATGACCTAGCTGCCTATTGACGCCAGAAGAGTAGCCGGAGCAATAAGACAAAAATGTGTACTATTACTTTAAATCCATGTGTTAAGAATTCTGGTGATGCAAATGTCTATGAGCGACGGTGATTTAACATTAGGTGTCTTATATGCTGGTGTGCCCTATAATACAAATACCATTCGTTCGTGGTAACCAGCGATTTTATAGCGTGCAGCTAACAGTGAATGGGCGGATGGTTATGGTTGCAGAGATATCTCGTCTTGATCTAAATCGCCTCGGCCAGCGTACTGTCGACCTTGGACTGTTGGTTGAGCTCGAGTCCGGTGGCGAGATCGCCAACATGCGCCAGTAACGTGGTTCAATAGCGTACAGCTAACAGTGAGCGAGCGGGTGGTTACAGTTACCAGAGATGTCGCTCTTGATCGTCTTGCCTCGGCCAGTCCGCTGTCCACGTGGGGCTGGTGGCTGAACTAAGGTCTGGTGACTAGGTCGGCAACATGCGCCTGCAACGTGGTCCAGCTAACAGTAAACGATAGAGGTTGGTTTTTATGGTTACCAGAGATGTCGCTCTTTATTTGCCTCGCCTCTGCCAGCGCGCTGTCGACCTTGGGCTGCTGGCTGAGTTCGAGCCCAGTAGCGAGGTCGGCAACATGCGCCACCACAGATTCAGCGTTGCGTGCCCGCTCTCGCACTACTGCCAAAGTCTTTTCAGCGTCCACTGCTAGGTCCGCAGCGCGACTAATCTGCTTGTCGCTGTCTGTCGCTGCGAACTCTGCCTAAGAGACCGATCATAACAAAACTTAGTCAGTTTTTCTTTCATGCATTTGTTACTTCGATTTTTCATTTTCTCTTTTTTCAGATAATAATAAAATTCTATTCTTTTCATTTACACTTGGGTCAGTCGTGAAAAGGAACTAATAGTGCGGTAGGAAAATCTAAATTAGTCCAGCAGGGTCAAGGATTTCGATACGACATGTAGGTATCTACGAGTATCTAACGATCTAACGTGCTAGAGGGGTAGTGAATTAAGAATCAATACGGCAAGATAAAAGATTTTGATACGAAATATATCGCTGCTTTACCACCCTATCCTGACTTCGAGAGTTGGTATTATGTAAGGTCTTATAATACAGACTGTAAGGCCATAACTAACCGATCTGAGCAGATTTTTGGCACCAGTCTCAAGCGTCTTAAAAGCGGCAGTGACGTTATTCAGGTCGACTCCCCGAAGCTCAAGGATTCGTGGCCTCAGCATATCAGTCTGGTTCGCAATGTAGTTTAGTCGCTGCGTCGTGAAGAATGAATCTGCTTTGTCCTGGGAAATATTAAATATTTTAGAAACAAAACCAATCTTATGCTGATCGGTTGGTTCTCCTAGAAACAGAATAGCAGAGTAAAATTTTGTCAATATCCATGTTTTTGAAACCTACTAAGAGTGATCGTTTAAGTCAAACGTGGTTTACGTTATCACCTTCATGAACTATATTTTATTATCATTGTTGCCATTTAAAATATGTAGTTATATAGCAGTGAAACACGGATAGACAAATTTCGATTTTTTTATTACCTTGAAGTCCTGCGTTTCGTGAGCCAAAAGAGCACCCATGTCCTGAACGCTGTAAATCAGGGCGTCAGTGCACTCGTCACATTCCAGGCAGCCTTCATGAGGTATCAACACCCACCTACAAAAGAAATGGTATATACAGGAAACATCGCAAGGACAAAAGAAAACCTAATCTTGGTAGGAAAGCCATGCACATGCATGCATGCAAAAAAATGTTAATAATTAATTACACAACTTTCGGAATACCTGAAGATTCCAAACAAAAATCTGTATCCACATAGCAAAGTTAAGAGATTATTGTGAGCTCTATCGTGGTTTTTATTAAGTTGAAATTGCTGTAAAATATTAAAGAGACTATAACCTCTCTAGGCATCGCGCGCACTTTTCCCCGAAGACACCGGGTAGACACTAGCATTATCCCATGAGCTCTATGATGTTGTTTATAAAGTAGAGATTGCTGTAAAATGTTAAATTTAAATAGACTATAAACCTCTCTGGGCAGCGGTCGCATTTCTCCCCGATGACACCGGGTAGACACTCGCATTGACCCGTCGCGTTGCACATGAATCCCACAGAGTAACCCGTGTTGCAGTTGCAGTCTACAAAGGACGAATATCATTAATTTAATTAACTTATTCAGTGGTTTAAGTTATAAATTATTCAGTACAGTTTCTTTGTTCAGGCAGAGGGTAAAAAATATTGTGCACTGATATAGTACAGATTGCTAAAAATTACTCACGATCGCATCCTTCTTTGGTGTAGTTCCAGTATCCGGCAGCACATTGGTCGCAGTGGCGTCCAGTCACTCCTTTTGCGCATCTGCAAATAACAAACAGTATTTAAAAAAACAGACTTTATTGGACCAAATTTATCTATACATTACTGGCTCGCCTTTGCTTCGCTTCGGTGTAGACTATACTGCTATAGGCTATATAATATCACGCTACGACCAGTAGGAGCGGAACATCGATGAAAATAGTCCCAAAAACGGGTAAAAGGTTCCTCTTGTGAGCTTCTGTCGCGTGCGCTGTGTAAACGGTTAAAGTTACAGTAAAATTATGCATGACGTAATTATTTCTCTTGAAAAGTTCTATAAAAAAGTGTGCGACAGTATATGTTCATCTTTTAAGGTTGACTCACTATAACCTTTTTCCTCAAATTAACGCGGGTGATACCGCAGGGAACTTCTTGTTGTGACAAAACTGTAAAAGTTAGACAAATGGTATTGCGGACTTTTTTGTAGATATTTATGTTCTCTATAAAACTTTAGCACATCACTTTGCTTTTATGCTAATGACTCCCGCAGCGTACGCGACAAAAGGTTATTTTTTTCAAACGTTGGGTTACATTATCGATGTTCTCATACGGAACCCTAACTTTTTTGAAAATACTCCATAGCCTATGTTTCGAAGCTTTTACTTTAAAGCAATACTTTCCTCTTTATAATATTATTAGTATATTAGTATAGATAGATGATTAAATGACATATCAATTACCTACCAGCTTACAGAAGACCACAGTGAAATATCAAATACTTTTGGCTGATTTCGTGTTTCTGTCAGCGAGTACCAGGGTTCCAGGGTTCTCGGGATGGGATAGATAATGTGCAAGTAATACTGTATGCATGGTATCTCAAGCTCCTCATCCGTCACCATCAGGCGAGCCATAAGCCATATAATCACTTATCATTAGTATGTGTGTATAATGTAATTTTTACTTGGAATCTCCAACGACATACGACGGTTGTTAAGTTAGCAGCGAGTCCAACTATGACAACCCGCGCTCCCCTACCCCTATCACCCTATATCTCTTTTACTGCGCCGCGACTTGTAATTGTAAACACAAACTTCCAGCGGGACCCAGTGGATGCGGAGTACAAGTTTGTTGTTTTTGGAAATCCTTAGAGGAAGCCTATGTCCAATAGTGTATGTCAATCGGCATATTATGATGAAATGATGATGATGACTAGTACTTACCTCATAACCACCCTTGCCGTCGCAATGCGTGGAGTTACACGCGAGCCCGCAGTCCCGGGGCAAGCCTCGCCCCGAGTGGTCGGGCGCGCATCGGTCGCACTTCTCGCCCACCACGCTCGGTAGCACAATCGCGTGCCTATGTATGTACCTGCATTGTCCGGTGTTATCATCACACTGCGTGGAGTTGAAAGCGACCGCGCAGTAGCAGGGCTCACAGCCACGAGCTAAGCTCAGTCTCCAGTGGTCGGGCGCGCACCGGTCGCACTTCTCGCCCACCACGTCCGGTAGCATAATCGCGTGCCTATGTATGTACCTGCATTGTCCGGTGTTATCATCACACTGCGTGGAGTTGAAAGCGACCGCGCAGTAGCAGGGCTCACAGCCACGAGCTAAGCTCAGTCTCCAGTGGTCGGGCGCGCACCGGTCGCACTTCTCGCCCACCACGTCCGGTAGCATAATCGCGTGCCTATGTATGTACCTGCATTGTCCGGTGTTATCATCGCACTGCGTGGAGTTGAAGGCGACCGCGCAGTCTCAGGGCTCACAGCCGCGAGCTCAGCTCAGCCCCCAGTGGTCGGGCGCGCACCGGTCGCACTTCTTACCCATCACGCCCGATAGCACAATCGCGTGCCTATGTATGTACCTGCATTGTCCGGTGTTATCATCGCACTGCGTGGAGTTGGAGGCGACCGCGCAGTCGCAGGGCTCGCAGCCGCGGGCCGAGCTCAGCCCCCAGTGGTCGGGCGCGCACCGGTCGCACTTCTCGCCCACCACGCCCGGCCAGCACACGCACGTGCCCGTACTCGGGTCACATCGCTCCATGCCGTACTCGTCGCAGATACACGCTGGAAGTAGGTACACCGATATACTTTTACATAGTCAGGACACGTCGTCTAACATATTTGATCATCTAAAGAAAACAACTGACCCCCCCCCCCCCCTCTAAAAGCTTAACTATCGGCCTGTAAAACCTCATGATAATGCTTTACATGACATTTTAAGGAAAATATAACGGTTCAGATAGATTTGTTAGTTTAAGAGTAATAGTCGTTCAACTTTGGTTAAAGAAAATGTCTATCTATTGAAAATTTCTTAAAAGAAAACATTAATAGTGACATAGATGAAGTTAATGTAGCGTAAAACCTTGCATTGTAAAACCAAATCTAAAAAAACTATTTATAATTTGATTTAATTTTAATTTTCGATACAGAAAATAAAGACCCCTGCTCAAATATATTGTAGTAACGACAGGCAACTACCGAACCCTACACTGCGCGTGGCACGACACGAACTTGGCCGTTTTTTTTTGTAGCATGTTTGGGGTATAATGGGACTGACGTACCCCGTGTTATAGTTCCTAAATTAAATAAATACACCGCTAGCCAATATCGAGTGGAGCTTTTTTATACTTTAAGTTGGTGCAATAGAAATAGTGGTTGAACCTGATTGACGTGAATTCTGTTTGCTTTTGTAGTGCAATCAGCATTTGAAGCTTTGCTAAGCTTTTATAGAAATACTAGCGGCCCGTCCCGGCTTCACACGGGTGTATTAAATACTATGTAAATATAATGAATCAGCATTTATATCTAGAATACAAAGAAAAATTAACAACAAATAAACAAAAGGAAACAGTGGAAGAGCTTTTCACTATATAACGAAAAAACAATTTTACAAAAGCTACACAAACAAAATATAAAGGACGTAAATTCAATGAAAGAAAAATTCAGTTCCACACGCATCGCTTAGGGAACCTCGGTTTTCATTCTACGGCATTCAATTTTCGATTTTTTTAAATTTTCGAATACTGCTTACGTCCCGTTCTATTGTGTCTTGCGCTTGTTCTTTTTTTTTAATATTGTATTGGTTCTGAAATGAGAAAGTCTGAAGCCACTTTTTTATATTTATTTATATAGGTATGGAGCATTACAATGTCTCCATCCGTATATTGAATATCTATAGAAATACCTACTATATAGCTGTCCCAGCGAACTTCGTATCGGAATAAAAAATAGGGGTTGGTGGTAGAAGGGTGAAAATTTAGGGTTGTATGTATTTTTGTATGATGATGGTCCAAAAAAAATTGTTTAAGTGTGGACCACCCTTAACATTTAGGGGGATGAAAAATAGATGTTGTCCGATTCTCAGACCTACTGAATATGCATATAAAATTTCACGAAAATCGGTCGAGCCGTTTCGGCTAATAGTTAAAACTGTCTTTATCAGTTATTAATAAAATGTGAAAAAATAATTATTGCACTGGAAATTAATAATAAATTCACGATGAGAGTAAAATTAACGTAATAGATGCACAGAAAAATTAAAATAATAAGTATAAGTTACTGCTACGATCGATACACAAATGAAACCAAAAAAAAATGGCCAAAAACTGTATATTGAGGAAGACAGGAGACCGGCTTCCTTCTCATCCCTACTCCGTGATTTTTGCTGGATGAGAGGTGACCCAGGTAGACATCTAGCGGGGATAACTGATCGATTGATCGTTGATCGGTTATCGACCGGTGAAGGCGGAAGATCAAATTGAATTGAGAAAAAAAAGAAATTATTAAAAATAAAAATCGCGATGGTAAAATAGGGGTTGATTGTAAAGGGTTGAAAATTCAGGGTTATATGTATTTACTAATGCTGTATCATAAAAAAATATGTATATATCTAAAATTATAAAATAAAAATTTAGGGGTGGATTACCCTTAACATTTAGGGGGATGAAAAATAGATTACATCCGATTCTCAGACCTACTGAATTTGCATATAAAATTTCACGAAAATCGGTCGAGCCGTTTCGGAGGAGTTTAACCACAAACACCGCGACACGAGAATTTTATATATTAGATAATAATGGAAGGAACATGATTAATATTGCCATCAGGTGCATTAAATCGAAAAATCATCAGAACAATGTCACATGTGATATTATTCTGATGATGAGGTATTGGATAACTAAAAAAATTTGCAAATAAAAGCGTCATATTTACCTGTACAGTTCTTGTTGAAGATGGCGTCACCAAAGAAGCCTGGAGCGCAGAGGTTGCAGGCGCCACCGGCCGTATTGTTGACGCACTTGAGACAATCGCCGGTGATACTGTCGCATGAGCTCGGATCATCCTTGTTTATGTTGCCGGAGCAGTTGCAAGGCTTGCAGTAGTCACCTGGTTAAAAGTAAGCGAAGAACTGAATGTGTGCCTCTAATACACAAACGAACCAGCAAGTTTTTCAGTAGCAAGGACATTCCGGAATTTTGCTGCCGATAGAAGAAGTAGCAGTACAGTTTTGGGAATTATTGTGTAGATCATCCCACTGTATTGGAAGTGAGAAATAAAACAGAAGGATACTATTATTGAATGACATTTTTAAAGGTATTGGTGGACGATACTCTTGTTTCCAGATATTAACTTAAGATCAATTAAGCCAAAAGGAGACTTGACTATGATTACGTAATAACAGTCATAGTATTTATCCCACTCATAGTATCGCTTTTTGGATCGTATCATCGTGAATTATAAAATAAGTATATGAACTAGTCATCGCAGTACAAGCTATATAATATTATAGAACAGTGGCGCCATTTTAAAAGGCCAAGATTCTCTTCGCCGATCCAGCGAGTAAGAAAGTAAAGCAGTATTGTAAAGCAAAAAAAGCAGTGTTCTAAATATTCACCTGTGATCTCTGGTTCTCCGTAATACCCAGCGGCGCAGTATTCACAGCGCGCACCTCCGTATCCGGGCTTACAGTCGCAAGAGATAAGGGAGCCGTTTTCACTTAGATCGCATCCGATCGCGAAACTGCACCAAAGAAAAGTATGTCAATATTATCTCAATCGCTTTATGTTTATTAATACAGATAAAATCCTCACCGTCCTGGTTTGAATTTTATCTACAATGATCTGCTTCTACACCGTATCACTCATATCAAAGTATTATTTTTAACAGAACTTAAAAACCTTTTAATGCAATCACTTGATTTGAGAGGCAATCGGCAGTAAAGAGGTAAGCGCTTGTAGGATCAGATCGGTTAACAAGGAAAAATCTCGAGTTTCTTTTGGGTTTTTGGGTCCCAGTTTTAGCGGTTGGTCTCGGCTGTATTTTTGTTAGTACGTTACCAATCAGTGCATGCCCCTTAATGCCTAAATGGTTAAACTCACTTGTTGGAAGCGGTGGGCATAGGGCAGGCGCAGATGAGGCAATCGCGAGGTGTGCCAACAGTGGCATCACCGTGGTAGCCCTCTATGCATTGCTCGCAATGATCGCCCATTGTGTTGTGTGTGCACTCCTGTTGGAACAAAGTGTATAAATTAATAACTTGGCAATTAACACAAGGAAACACCAGGGTAGAACCGCTTTTTAGGTCTAGACATGTGCTCACTATTTGCACGACATTCCCCGGTACGCGTTAGGACATTGTCACTCTTCGATTGTAGTAGCCCGCGTCTATGCCAACGTCGACGAAATGTGAACTCACCAAACATATGCCCGTGTTGACGTCGCACTCTTGCGAGTGTCCGTAGCACTGGCAGGGCGCACACAGCCCCGCGTGCGGCCCGCTGCTGAGTCTGTAATACCCGGCTGCACACTGCTCGCACGACATTCCTCGGTACGCTTTAGGACACTGACACTCTTCCACCGAAGTCGCTCGTTTAGCACCTTCCATGTAGTCTTCTACGCCGACATCGAGAATTGCATTTCCCAGCCTACAAATGGAATTAAACTGAACTTCGTCACTCAACAGTTCATTTAGAAAAAACTCATTTATCTACATTGAATTATTGACAAGCAAAATTCAAAATTAATTAAACACGCTACGTGGGGTTTGTAGTTTTTGATTTAGCTAGCAGTTAAACAAAAGCTTTACCTTCTAACTAACCTAGTACTGAAAAACAAACATCACTATCAGACGATGTAGCAATTTTTTTTAACCAGCTATAGAAGAAGAACAGTTGATTTGATTTTGTTGATAAAGCCACAAAACATTTTATTTATTGCAATGATCAGTAAAGTCCGAACTTAAATGTTTTGGAATTATAAAGTTAACAAATAATGATTTTATCGTTGACACAAATGACTAGGTCAAACAATAGCCCACCTTGCTGTAAAAGATCCTTCCCAATATGTCGCTCTGATGTAAATGTTGGTGACATTGACGAGGGTATTCATGAACTGGTCTCTGGTAACAGCAGTGCCATCGAGATTGGTAAACTCGTCTTCGGTGACGTGCACAGCATGCATCCAGTCGACGAAGGAAGGCGGCTGCTCCACGCTGTTGTGGACAAGGTAGCCGTTGGGTCCACCGATGATTACATCGGCTCCGGCAATGGCTTGCCCGCTCTCTTGGTTCTTGTAGTTGATCGAGTAGGTGAGATAACCCCCGTAAGCGGTCAGACGTTTGCCTTTAAAGGGTAATGCGAATAAAACCATGTTGATTAATTTAATTCGTTCGTAGGTTTTTCTAAATTGTTGGCGTATTTATAACTTTGACTCTTGATTTTCAGAATAAATTGATACGTTAAGAGTCAAAAGTTATAAAAAGTAGGTAAAGGAAGAGGACAGTTAATAGTAATATTGCTGGTTCTTTTAACAAAAGATGATTAAAAACTATAGCAGTGTCATCCAATTTGTATTTTTTTTTCAAGTGGTCATCACCTAAGTAGTACGCGGGTACGACGAAGTAAACGATCTGTTTGGAGGTCGCTGTAGCGTTGAGGTCGGCAACTATGGTGTAATCGTCCATTATTCTCGGCGTCGACGAGTACGGGATAATGCTGAGGGTGCGATTCGTCTCGATCACTACTAGGGACCAATCAGCAACACCACTTATCTGTATGAGGAGATTGAAACAATAAATAAAGCATACACTTAAAATAAAAAAGAAGAAGGTTCTGATTTCATGAAATTGGTAAAAAAAAATTTAGAAAATCTTACTGCAACTTTAAAATCGGTCCCACTATCAGGGCTGCTGGTTTTATTCCAACCTGATACCTAGTCGGTACGAAATTGGAAAATTTCTAAATAATAAATTTAGCAGATTATGTTTTATATAAAATAATTGTGTGTCCCCATAACAAATTAGTATCCGTAACTAGTGCGATGACCAATCCTTTAGAATTGATATTTAAGATCATAAATCATCATTTTACATTTGGTAAATGCTTTAAAAATCTTGAATACTTACCGCAGACCAAGACAAATATGAGCTGGTGCATCTTGTAGTTTTACCGAAGCAGTAACACTTCGTGCAACCATCTGGATTTGTTGCTTGAAGGTTGAAATATTCTTCTTTGCAATCATTGCAAGCCTGTGAACATAAAAAAAGAGTCAATTTGATTTTGCTACGTTAATAGGTGAAAGAAATATTTATTTATTAGTTAAAACCTCCTTACCTGACCCCGTACGTGCTTCTTACAGTAGCACTGGGCGGTGTTCTGATCGCAAACGTCATCAGTGGTGCCATACGGGTCACATGTGCACGGTAGACAGTCTGGGAACGCGTAGTGTCCTGGCACACAGTGATCGCATACTCGGCCAATCACGTTCTCCTTGCAACTGTAAAAAAAAATAGGAGTAAATATTCTGAAGCCGTGCAACGGTTTGCACATTATGGATCGGCTTCAAGATTTCGATATCAGTTGTTGGTACTCACGCACAGCTGCCGCTGTCGGTCTCGCATTGTAGTTGGTTGCCAATGACGCCTAGTGGGTTGCAGTTGCAGTCGTCGCAGCCGCGGTGCACGTCGAAATTGAACGTATACGGCTTGCAACGGTCGCAGTTCTCGCCCTCCACGTTCTTGGGGCAGATGCACATCCCTGGCAACGAACATAAATAGATTAGAGATGATAGAAAATCACAAGTCACCATGCGGAACTCCATTGGCCTCGAATTTGCCGCTAAGAGCGACGGCTTAGAGCGACGAAGAGCCCACGGTGACGGAGCTAGATAGCGTTTGAGATCTAAGTTAGTTTTGTTGGTGATATTCACTTATTAAGACTAAGGCTCACAGTCACCGTTATTGTCGCATATGGCAGTGGAGGGGCAGTTGCAGGGACGGCATTTGGGGAAGCCGTAGAAGCCAGTCCTGCAGCCGGAACACGAGCGGCCGATGACGTGCGGACTGCAGGGGCACTCCGTGGAGCCAGCGAAGTCGCCTACTCTCGTCAATATTGTCGCAGTTACCGTTATCGTCGCATATGGCGGTTGAGGGGCAGTTGCAGGGGCGGCAGTTGGGGAAGCCGTAGTAGCCGGTCCTGCAGGCGGAACACGAGCGCCCGATGACGTTCGGCCTGCACGGGCACTGTCCCCCGAATACGTCACATTCCAGCTCCGTGGAGCCCATAAAGTCGCAGAAACAGGACAGCGCGCCGCTGTTGTACTCCGCCGTTATGGAGAACATAGAGTCGCGGCAGAAACCTGCAAGAACGATAACGTTAATCAAGCTCATGACAGGACAAGACAAAAGGTCATCATCATCAGTTTGTCCATGACCCCATTGCAGGGATACAGGCCTTCCATATAGATGAAAGAGGGAGAGTGGACCGTGACCCACCAGTCATGCCCAATGTGGATTGGTGGGTGATAAAAACAAAAGGGTTTTCATTTAAGGTCGAAGTTTGATGTATGTAGCAAGCGCCTAAGATTATGTAAATACGCGTACCTAGGAATTTTCAGGATTTTCACCTTCAATCTATCTCATAGAAGTTTCACACTCTTCTCATCTCCATCAGCATAATGCAACCAAATAAACTAAGCTATTGGGTACAAAAAATGACTGACACAAAAATGCCTAATACCGCGCGTCTTAGCTGGTATATTAAAGTCGACTTTTGTTATCTTTGTACTGAGATATACTTACCAGTCTCGTTGGGGCTGATGTAATAGTGGTTATAGGCGCATTTATCTATGAACTCGCTAGTATAGTCCACCATATTGGCCTCTTTCAATGCGCTTTCCACGAAGTCTTCTGGGGCCACTATAAGGACGTAGTCCAGCCAAACACCTTTGCCTGTTTCATCCTGTAGAAATTTAATCATCATTATTTACTTGTTAATTTCACCAAATGCTGATGTACTATCGAAAAAAATAATTTTAAAATACAGATAATTAATAAAGTTCAAGTTACATGTCGAATGAGTACAGAGTAGTACCCATTATTTAAATTAAATTAGCAATAAATTAGCTTAAAAGATTTATTATTTAACGATATGTCTGGACATAGTTGTAGTATTTAATTAAATATTATATAATAATCTGCAATGCACAAAAATCTTTAAAAGAGTAGAAAGAGTGTTCAAGGGGCCATATTCTTAGTCTAACATTAAACATAGTGCTGGAAGTAGCTTCAATTTTAATGCCGCCGGCAGCCTGTTATACACCATAGGACCCGTTATGTAGACGGACCTCTCCGATTTATACAGCTTGTGATCCTGCGCGGCGAGAAGGTTGGCAAGTTTGTTCTTATGGAGCAGGGGGCGGGAAACGTTTGCGCCTCTGAGTTTTAACCAGTATATTAACTGCAGGACTCGTCGTCAGACGCACCCAAGAAAACACGAATCATTCGCTTCTGCATAGAAAAAACTCTGTCACCGGCCGGGTCTCGCGCCCTTAGCTCCACACCGTAAGTGAAAGTGTTGTGGACGGTCGGACGGACGGCATGGTAGCACTGTACCACCACACCACGTGCTGCGGTGCCGGCGAGGCGACGCAGAGCGTAACATGTCCGGCGGAGCAGAGCTCATCGATGTGAGTCTCCCACGTCAGACCGCTATCGATGTGAAAGCCTAGCAGCTTAGTCAATTTGACTGTCTGCAGCGCGGTATCCACAGCGTTCACCTTGTACTGTGGTAGGGAACGGTCATGGAGCACCCCCACTAGAGTCCGCATCACACAAATTTTGTTTGGAATCAAAATCGCCAAAGTCGGTGGGGTGCAGGGAGGTCAGCCCCGCTGTGATTGGACGCGTCAAGGTCAGATCATATACTCAGTGCAGCGAAGTGATGAGGGTAAGATCGATTTTAGAAAATATCGATATTTTCTATCGATAAACAATTTAGAATAGAGGCCTAGTACTTTGGTGCGCAAATGCGTGATCATACCCTCTCCACTTTCTTCCAGCGTTCTAATTACATGACGCGACTAGTAACTACATACTAAATTATATATAAGCAACACAAAAAAAAACACGTCCAGGACAAGAAGTATTAATGCAACGATATTACCTACCTTAGATACAACTACCCTAGATACAACAACACGAACAAAATCGTGGCCGAAATGTGTCCAAAAGGTACATTGGACGATCCACGGAGGTCCGTAAGATGATCGCGTGGTCAAAAACAATATAATGCCTTATTTAAACATTAAAAGTCACCTTTAATGCATACGGCATAAGGTCTTAATTAAAATGCATGCGTCAAGTTCGTAAAATTTTACGATTTATTGTTATGTGAAAGAATATAGACCTTATTTTTTTTTACTTTTCACGCGCAATTCTGAATGCGCTGTTAGCAATATAGCAGGTACAGACCGCGAAGAAAAGAGATGGCTAAGGGCGACGTATAACCGACCATGCATTTGAATATCACAATCAGTTTATAGTAAGTATTACAACAATAAAATTTGCTTTAAAGGCGTTAATTAAAAAACATTAATTTAGATACCCGTCGAAAAAACGACACTTTACGTACTATTAGTATTTTTCTGCATTTTTTCACGGAACTCTTTGGCATCTTGACTTTTCAACGGTCCGCGTGTGACTGTGTACTAAGAAGTGCTTGAGTGGAGTTCAAGCACTTCTTGATTGGGACACATTTTGAGCGCACGTGGTGTATCTAGGGTATTTAATATCGTTAATTCTATGTCTTTATCTAGGTCATAAACTATGCGCACTTAATTTCATACAAATCCGTTTAACCGTTTTAGCGTGAAAGAGTAACAAATATGCATACAAATTTTCGCGTTTTTTCAATTTTATTAGGATATGTTTGAAGTCAAATAAAAACTGTTAGTTGTATACTTATGACATCTATTATTGTATACGATGAAATAAATAGTTTTTATTTATTTTTTCCATTTCCATAGCTGACAAACTTATCGATAAACTTACGCGTTGAGACATGAGCTGCGTCTGAGTCACATAACCTGAACAGAGTGTTCGATAGGCATGTGCTCTGTGGTAATACCATGTTATTTGCCAGTTCCGATGATTTAATTTACGTTTCCCTGTCTTTGACTATGTTCTGTGTGCGCCCGGATATAAAGGAGTTCAGCAGGGACAGCACCGGGGCGCGATTCCCGTAGAAGTTTAATTTATTGGCAATAAGGCGGCATCGGTGGTGTCAAACGCGAGCGAGAGATCACAGCACAGCAGCGCCACGCAGAGACCAGACTCACGCGCGCTCAGCACGCGCCACACCACCTTCCGTTCCAGGTCTGTAGTGGCGCATCCGGCTCTGTTAGCGTACTGCCTGTCCGATATTATGTTGCACTCCTTAACGAATGACAGAAGCCTTCTATTTAGTCCCTACTCAAAAATTGTACTGATGGTGGGAACCAGTTATATCGGCCGTTACGATTTTATTTCCATTTTTTGCCTTTACCTTTATAAAGGGGGGAAGTTTTGACTTTTTTGAGGAGCGTCGGATATACATCTTCCTGGGTGCGGGCATTAAAAAGGTAGGCTAAAATATGAGCGAGTGCTTTAGCGATGACCTTAAATAAATAAATAAATATTTCCAACAATCATACCAATTAGCCTAGCCTCAAAGTAGGCACTATAAGGCTTGTGTTATGGGATAATAGGGTAACACGGATAGAATACATATTATACTGTACATATATAAAGTTTATTTTTTATAGAAAAACATATTAAACATCCATGATTGGAGTATAAATATGCTCGTATTCATCACACAAACATTTGCCCCCACCGGGATTTGAACCCGGGACCTCACGAGTCGGCGACACCATTAAACCCGGCGTATAAACCACTCGGCCACGGAGGTTGTCAAACGCTGACCTTAAGTAAGCTAGCAGAGATTCCGTAGAGGTCTGTGCTATTTTTGGAGGCTATATATTTGTTGACAATTACTAGTATCTCGTGCGGAGAGAACAGTTGTATTCACAATGACACATCACTCGGGGGGTTATCCGCGCTGAGAGTGGAGACCGCACAGGCTACGTCAGCCGCAGGGGCACCGAATCTGTTAGCAGCGGTTGCGAACTCTAGGTTCATCGCGTTGACCTGCTGCTGTTATGATTCAAACGGTACTCCGTTTGAGTCCTGCACTTGGTCGGTATAGTCGGCTCTCTCTCGATTCCCACGTCCCAGCTCAGCACCGACAATATTCCACATACGAGGGCGGGATGATAAGTAACTAGCCTCTGCTATTTAAAAAGTTAAAATTTAAAAAATGTATATGTCATTTTTAAAATTCGTATCTCTGGCCATCTGTGTTCTAAATTTGAATTTGGTGGCGTGAAAATTTTATTGATTTTTTGTCATTAGAAAATATATTTCGTCAACTGTTTTCAAAATGGATGAAATTGAACAAAGAGCGGTGATGAAGTTTCTTCATATGAAGAGCATGTAGGGGAAAGATATCTATGACGAGTTAAAGAATGTTTTGGGTGAATGTGCTCCTTCTTATGCCACAGTAAAAAACTGGGTGGCTGAGTTTAAACGCGGTCGTACCTACATGTGTCCAAGATGAAGCCCACCCCAGACGTCCAAAAAGCGTCACGACCCCGTAATGGTCGTGAAAGTACATGATATGGTTTTAGCAGATCGACGATTCAAGTTATCTGAAAAAGCTAACACTACAGGTATCTCAAAAGAACGGGTACATCATATCCTAAGTGAGGAATTAAATACGAAAAAGTTATCGGCCCGTTGGGTGCCGCGATTGCTTACGCACGATCAAAAAAGGATTCGGGTGCAAAACTCAAAATAATGTCTGGACCGTTTTCAGACTAATAAGGCCGATTTTTACGTCGATTTGTAACAACAGATGAAACATGGGTTCATCATGACACGCCAGAATCAAAAATTCAATCAAAACAGTGGACTCAATATTCAATTTCATCCATTTTGAAAACAGTTGACGAAATATATTTTCAAATGACAAAAAATCAATAATTTTTTCGCGCCACCAAATTCAAATTTAGAACACAGGTGGCCAGAGATACGAATTTAAAAATGACATAAATATTTTTTTAATTTTAACTTTTTAAATAGCAGCGGCTAGTTACTATCATCTCGCCCTCGTACATTTCATTTTGTTCGTGTGGTTACGAATATGATTGGTGCGTAACTTAAGCTGGCACGTTCAACACATTTACACGTTGCACTTGTGTAGTGTCTGTGAATAAGCGCGTGACGTGACGTCGCACTGCATGCGCATCATGAACAGTCTGCCCGTCTCTTTCTCGCGCGGTCTATGTTATGAGTGAAAATTGCATAATGATTGTTTTGCTTTTGCTACTGTTTATAAATACAGCGTGGTCTTTAGCGTCAGTCACGTGTGATCAACTCGTGACGCGTGTGATTATTTGCCTATTTGGAGGTTAGAATAAAAAGTGTTCTGAAAGAATTGGTTTCGGAATAACTTTAACAGGACAATTTCGTGAAATAGTGTACAATGTTTTTAAGTATTTCATGCACCATAATAAAAAAATTGCATCGAATTCAGGAAAGTGACATGTTAGCTTGGTTGGACAAATATACCTAATATTTATCATATCCAGAAAGAAACACAAAACCTATGCTATATGAAATGATAAAAAAAATACTTTGTGCTTGATAAAATCGGAAAGACACAGTGTATTGCACCTACCATCCTACCAGAACTCAACCCAAAAGAGTTACTGTGGGGTATAATTAAAGGGAAAGTTGCGTCAGAAAATGTTAAGTTTAGCCTGAAAACTGTGGAAGAAATATTTAGAAAAGAAGCAGACTCTATTACTCTTGATATGTTTAGTGATGTTTGGAGAAAGACGCAAGAACATGAGAAAAAATAAATTGAAAAATATAACATTCAACATACATAAATATGTATTTTAAAGTTTTTCTGCGATGCTAAACCCGTCTGAATCTTCTCTATTAAAGACGTCTTCAAAAAACCTCGAAACCATCACTTGAATTTACAAAGGTGAATGATGCATGCCTTCAAAAAAAGAACGTAACCCTTCCTTAATGGCCGGCATCGCATTTAAAATTGTTATACTCCTGGTGTTTCAGATATCTATGTAATCACTTACGACCAGGTGCGCCGTTTGCTCGCATGCACCCTATAATATAAAAAAATCCATACCTTGAATACGATGGTGATGTTTTCTGTGACTGGGAACCGGTTCTTGCCATCTGGTTGCTTGAGAAGCGCTCTGCAGCCGGAGACGGAGGGGCAGTGCTCTGCGATGAGCTGGGTTTCGAACTTAACTCCGTCCAGAATTATGGTCGCGTCTATAGTGCTCTCTGTCCAAAGCGAAAAAAGAAGAAAATGTAAGAAATATTACTTGTCCACCCCTGACTTAGAGAGGCTGTCGGTCGTGACATCGAGAGGCTCCTAAAGTGGTTTCCAAAGTAGCGCCATTTCTGATGTCCCCGGGCGGGTCAATGTAAAAAACTTGTATGGGTGTTCCTTCGTAACCTCTACTTATAAAATCAGATCAACGTACGGTTTATTACTAATGTATATCGTAATGAATTTACGTTTAGATTTAATTTAAGTTATATTTTGGAAAAGAATGATTTTGGGTCGATAGTTGTTAAGTCTTTTACTTTTTGTGCACCTAGGCGCCTCCTCCTAGTCCTATATTTTTATTTTGCATCCGGCCCAGCCTAGAAACAGAATCGGTTATCTAACTATCTATCTTAGATAACCGATTCTGGTTCCAAGCTAGTCCGGAGATAAAGTAGATTCTTCGGGAAACTTATTTGCAAAGTTTACAAACCAGGGTTGTTAGGCTGTAAGTATTTCACGATGAACATGTATTCGCCGGGCGTGAGCACCTTCGCGTCCAACTTAACGGGGTCAGCCTCCGGCGAGAGAAGCACCACCGCCGTGGAGTTGTCCAAAATGGGTGGCCGCGTCGTGCGGTCGCCGCCAATACCTATCTCGACCTCAACCTGTGTTCACAGAGGTAGAAATAAGAACTGGTTTCATCTATTAAAAGTATAATTTGAAATGCAGGTTAGAAATTTTAATCATTTGTTAGGCATAACTTAATAATCTGCCACATAGTCGATTTAAGAATTTTACAATGTAAAATAAATTACAGTTGAATTGAAGTACAGTTTTTTGGATGAAAAATGTAGCAAACTAACATACCAAAGAGTGTAACTTAAGTGTTGGCTGTCCTGATCCCGTATCGTACTCCTTGGAGCTCGGCAAACCTTGCTTAATGCAGGAATTCGTATTTGGCTGCAGGATTCTGTAATGTGTATTATACTTACCCTGACGGGTGCTCTATAGGTACGGATAATCTACTTACCCTGCCTTTTTTGAAGTTTCTTAACATGGTTAAATATAACTATTGCTTTGAACCATTTTCTAGCTCATAAACTTTTTAAGCAACGATATTTGTCACAAGCAATTACTTTTTTTGAGTCTACAGCGGCGGAGAAGACTGCCGGTTCGCATTTCCCGTTGCGTCTCAGACAGTAAGCGCGCGGCGTGATGTAGTCCAGGTGCCAATCAGCTTCTGGGATGGCTACGATTGATTTTATTCCGGTCAGAACATTTTTCTCTCCCTGTAGACAAAGCATCATTTGGGATTAATCGTCAAAATAATCACATACTTTGTTAACTTTGTCCGAAAAGGAATAGTTTTACAATAATTAGTTTTTTCAAGAGATCGAATTTGCATAGTATCATTGGACTTGAACATGAGGGGCTCAGCGAAACATGTCAACATACATAAAACACATAATTTCTTTCTTCAAGTAAACCTATATTTAAAAGGAATCTTCATTTTTAAGATGAAGAGTCACTTTATTAATCACTAGCTGACCTGGCGAACTTCGTACGCTTCCAATTTTTTTTTCTATAATAGATATAAGCAATCAATAAAGATGTAAGCTATTCTCTATTTCAAGCTGGATCAAACTGCACACGGTGTGAAAATTTGATTAAAATCGTTCGTTATCGGTTAAATAGCTTAGGAGTCCATACCGGACAAACAACGTGATGCGTTATTTATATATCATCATCATCAGCCCATTTATGTCCCCACTGCTGGGACACAGGCTTTCCCTATGGATGGAATAGGGAGATTGGGCCATGACCCACCACGCGGGCCCAGTGCCGATTGGTGGGTGTTAACGACTGCAGATGCAACCGGGACCAACTTAACGTGCCTTCCGAAGCATTTTTTGAGATTGAATGTTTTGGGGTGCTAGTTTTCTTCCATTGTTTTTTTTTAATAGATAGATCCGACAAATGACTCCACCCCACCTGACGTTAAGTGAAGGTGAAATCCAGACGCGAAGATAGATATTTTCATCGTATTTCCATTATTGAAATAATGTAATGTTGATTTTGATAACTTATAGGTAATGTCGTCAATAAATAAATAGAATCAGTGCATCTAACCCGTTGAAACTTGTTTTATTTAACTTATAATGTCTTTAGAATTTTTGTTTTCCTCATATAGGTAATTAAATACCGATCTTAGGTATAGCAATATTTTTTTTTGACATTTCACTAATTTGTATTCACTTATTTATTTAGTGTCAATATAATATAATCGAATTATTTTAAAGTATCACTAAATGGCTGTCAAAATTAACTTAATTCTTTTTTTATTGAATAGGTAATAATGTTATCTTTTTTAAATTAGGGATGAGTGGGAGTATTATAAACGTAAGAGTAAACAAATATAATCAGAATGCTCCGAACTGCTAAGCTATCAGGAGTTACACGTGTTATTGTGAGTCAACCATAAAAGATAGACATATGCTGTTGCGGGATATTTTTTAGACAATTTTATGTAGAATATTTCCGTCATACAGAATTTCTATGTAACTTTAACCATTAAGGCAGCACACGCGACGGAAGCTTAAAAAATGGAGTAACTTCTCCCGTTTTCCCAACATTTCCCTTCACTACTCTGCTCCTATTGATTGTAGCGTGATGAGAAGTATACTATAACCTGCCCAGGAGTATGAAGAATAATTGTACCAAGTTTCGTTAAAATCCGTTGAGTAGTTTTTGTTTCTATAAGGAACATACACACAGACAGACAGACAGACAAAAATTTTACTGATTGCATTTTTGGCATCAGTATCGATCACTAATCACCCCCTGATAGTTATTTTGAAAATATATTTCATGTACAGAATTGAGCTCTCTACAGATTTATTATAAGTATAGATTATATGTTTATATATATAATAAAATATAATTGTGGTATGTATATTCCTTTCGTAGTATGAATTTATATTATGCTGCTATGTAAATTCGTATATATATATATTTAATATTATTTATAATGTCTATATTTATGTGTATATTTAGATTTATACCGCCGTCCGCATTATTCTTTTTTCCCAAAGGTTGATTGGGAGAGAATGCTAGGTATTAGCTAAAGTCCGCCTTTTGTACCATTATTTTGTATTTTGGTCAATAAAATTTAAAATAAATAAATAATTTTATAAATTGGTATCTGCTATATAAAAATAAACATAGTAAGTTTTATTATTATAAATCAGAAAGGTATACCAAATGTAGGCATTTGGTAAAGTTACAGGTATAGTGACAGTTTTCCAAAATAATCTGTGCTCTGATAAATTTATTTCTGCATGGAAAATTCAACAGCTGATGCATCCTCCTAGACAATGTTCTGTAAATATTGAAACCTGCGTCTTCGTGGGTTTTACTTTCAGATACTCACATTCAAGTATACGACGTTGTCAGGGCTCTGGATGTTGAAGACGTACAGCTTGGCGATGTTGTCGACCACCACCTGCCGGCAGGCAGCGGTGTACGGGCACTCGTTCAGGTTTGCTATGGCGACCGCTTCCGAAGCGCTGCCGGACTGAAGCCGCACGGTCACAGTCCACTTGGGTGTGAACAAGTTGGTCTCGTTGGAGTAGTTCTCCACTGCGGTGGATCCGTTCACTGGCGTCACGTACTCCACTAGCAACACGTACGGCCCGGGCGGATCGACGTGCAAGTTGTATTGCAGCTCTTGCTGATCGTCGTTGAGAAGTGGGATCGTGTTAGCGGCAGCGTTCAGCTCTTTGAGTTGCTGAGAAAAGCGGTTTTGTTAATAAATCAAGGGAGAGTAAAGGTGGATTTGAAATAATATAAATATAACGCCATTTATCCTTTGTAGGTTTTACAGAAAATCTATGTTGTGACAGTACACGACACCCAGATTAATTACCAAAGATACTTAAGAAGCTGTCTGGAAATATAATAGTTACTGACGACACTCGAAATAAGTTACTGACGATTTTCTTATAGCACATCCAAATCCGCGTCCTTTCTTACAATTACGCATTTGAAAACCATTTACGTGGTCTGAATCCTAAATTGTGTTTAGGCTTGAGATCAATAGGTACTTAAAGTTTAAACTAACCTCTTCGTTGGTGACGTAAGCAGTAACTGGAGTGACCAGGTCAGCGATGGACGCCCTTGGTCTGCCCGCCACGCTGGGATACGCGTACTGTCTGCAGAGGCGCTGATCCCCAACCACGCAAGGTTTATCCACCAGTTTAGTAAGCATCGTTCCCTCGTAGTACGCTTCCGGTATCAAGACGAAGTAGTCCTGTAAAAAGGCTCCTAATTCAGCGATATGGATCAAATAAGAATCGAATAAACGGACATTCCTCGTTAAACCTATCTCTAACTGCATATTGAAAAAAAAATGGTAATTATTAATAAAAACCTAAGTATTAAGTTGCTTACAATCATAACTTCTTTGGTGGTTTTGATGGTGACAGTCCAATTGCCGGGGTTCATCACGAAAGGCGATGGCGCCAAGGCTTTCTCTCCTGCTACGGTAACTAACTGTGGTTCCCCAGTCGGCCTTAGAAGAACGTTGAACCTGAAATCGAAGAAAGAAGAGCACACCATTCATGAATCCTTATTACTAACAGAATTGCCTGTAGTAAAAATATGAGTCCAGCTGGATTTGAGCCAGCGCCTTCCGGTAGTCGGAATACCGAGTGGTATATATTCTAGTAAAAAAAAAATTTAGTTCCATAGACGCACTTATGACGGACAACAAAAATCCCTGAATTAATATGAGTTTGAACTCAGTAGAACCCTGGTTCTTGTCTCCTGAGATTGTCTGAGTATTCTTGATGGCTGAAATATCCTGGTTCTACTGACTTCAAACTAAAAGTGCAAATAATAAGTACATAATCATTAATATCGGGGAAATTATAGTTATTTTCTCGTCTGGCGCAGTTTTTATTCTAGATTCATACTAGCTGACCCAGCGAACTTTGTACCGCCATAAAATTAGAGGTTGGCGGTAGAGGGGTGAAAATTTAGGGTTTTATGTATTTTATAATGCCACATTATAAAAAAATAAAAAAATGTTAGGGGTGGATCCTTATCACTTAGGGGTATGAAAAATAGATAGTAGCCGATTCTCAGACATACTGAATATGCATATAAAATTTCATAAAAATCGGTCAAGCCATTTCGGAGGAGTATGGTAACTAACATTGTGACACGAGAATTTTGTAAATAAGATTAAGCGATTGTGTGATAAGCACTCCACTTACTCGTGGGTTGTTACTTACTTTTGTTGAGAGTCAACAAAGCTCTCCGGAGTGATGATGATGCTGGCAATGATCGGATCTTTCAAGTGGCTCGCGTACTTCAGAACCATGCGGTACAACGATGACTTGGTGATGTGTACGATGTTTATCACTTCATTCTGAATGATATAAAATTCTTTAATCAACGTGGTACTTTAATAATTTTTTAAGTAAGTGGTCTTATATATTTTCTATGTTCTGCTGGTATTTTTCCGTTGTGGTGAAGCAATTTTCGATAGCAAGAATAGTAATATTGGAAGAGTATCGATTATACAAAGATTTCAATCTTTTCGTCTGCTGGGTAGTTCTACAAAGTAAGGAATTTTCGACAGCTCAGCTAAAATGTCATGAAAAAATTGTTACAACCAAGTTTATTTTCATAACATATTGTTTACCATACCTATATCTACCTAGTCTCTAAAAATAATTTAGATACTAATATATTACCTTAGGAAAAAAAAATACTCAAAGCGTCAAATTCCCAGGATCCTGGAGTGTCCCACGAGCAAAATTGAATCTAATGTGCAATATTATTTATTTTCTGAGTACATTGAGCCCTAGGTGGCATATTATTAATTTATTGTAACAAAAACATTATAAAAAGTTTGTTCAGAAGTTGTCCCAACAGTTTCATATCAGGATCCTGCCCAATGTTAAATAAGCGAATATTCAATATTCTATTAGCCGCGCGACCTTGACGTTTAGCCGAGTTTGTTGCCGGTACGAAAGAGACAAAGAATACCACCTATTGTTTTGCACCCAGTGTGTTGCTTAGTCTGCCCGGCACATTTGATGGACGAAGTCGCATCATAATCAGTCGAGCTCACAGGATTTCTCATCAGGTAAGATATTTAATTACGAAATTCATGTGGTAATACGGTAATTGTAGCATTTTGATGTATATATTGCTTACACGAAGGCTTAATGCTGCTTGATTTTGGTTGAATGTTATAAATAGACGTTATTTTTAAATATTATTCCGAAATTCTCAGGAATTCTCAGGATCCTGTCAAATAACTGAGAAAAATGCAGGATCCTGAGTGTTTATATTGAAATATAATTTTTGTTCAACATCATATGTTACTTTTTCTGCTATATACTATGAAGTCAAAATAATAATAATATGTTTGTTAACATTATTATTTTATTAAAGCTAGTTTTGTAGATTTAATGATAAAAGTTCCTGTTCAAGACTGATTTAGATAGATAATTAGTATAAGTCAAGAATAGACTTAATTATCACGATAGTTCAAGATATTTGGACAATTACAAACTGATGGTTAGAAGCATAGTTTTTATTTGTGAATTTATTATTAAATAAACGTTGATTTTGATTGATATTTGTTTAAATCCTCAGTCTCCTGATTACAATCTCAGTTTCCTGCTGCTTGATTTCTTAAAATTGCCATAACTCGAATATTTTTGAATATTTTGTCCGTTCCACTTAACATAGGCTAAAAGACCATGTAATCTTTATGATTAACTATATTTTGTAACCATAATGAAAAAACATCGTCGGGCCGGAATCGGACTCATTTTCGTCCTTAGTTTGTAGAACAACCCTGCTACATTTCCTAATTAGACTTTTCGTTATGTCCTTCTTAATACGTAACTTCATACACAGTATATCTATTTAGAGTTTAATACATATAACTAATCACAATATTTACTACACAAAAAGAGTGTGATAAACCATTAAGTAAGAAAAAGCAACAGTATTAAATCTTGACTATTGAATGCTGACCTGTAACGAAGAGAACACGACGTAACCTTTCCAGGAGTAACCCGGGAAGATTTGGTCGTTGTTCCTGTATCGGACCGGTCCAGACTGGGTGAGGCCCTCCTCCACCTCGTACTGGAACTGGTGGAGGGTGGGAAAGTAGTGGGCGCGGATTGGCTGGTCGCAGCGGCGACCTTCCACGCGCGAGTGGCAACGGCATTGTCCAGTCACCTTGTCGCAGATGTTGTTAATGGAACCTCCGATGTCACAGTTGCATTCTGATGAACAGATTTTCTTATTAAGAGGTCAGTTTATGATTAAGAATATTTCTTAAGCTACGGCGCAGTTAACATATTACCTACGTAATATTGATATTGGGCTGCAGAATATCTAATTGGAGCTTAAATTTCAATAAGAATTACCGTACTCACTGTACTACACCGTACTCACTGATCAAATGCTACAAAACGCTGCAAATCTACATTTGCAGCGTTTTGTAGCATTTGATCTTAATTACGCAATCAAGTACTTTGATTGTTGGTGTTACTCGCGTATCATTCAGCCAAGGAAATAGCTAGCAAAATAAAAAAAAAATTAAGAGACATGTTCAAGATTCTTACCTGTACATCCGAAGACGTTATTGCTCTCCAGGCGGTAGAAGCCGTCTTGGCACTGGTCGCACTTGCGCTGGTCTACGTGCAGCTTGCACAAACACTGTCCACTGCGCGTATGGCACGAGCCCAGCCCACCGAGCGTGCCCGCTAGGTGGCAGCCACATTCTGTATCACAATGATATCAAGATTAGCTGCGTTCTTTATTCCAAGGGTATCAAGATTAGCCACATTCTATATCCCAAGAGTATAAAAATTGCGGTAAATTCAGTAATAGCTTCGGTAATGATCAACAAGACAATGTTTTGTTGTATGCATTGAGTATTCGTACAAAGGTTTGATTTTGAGAAATATTAAGGTGCTCCTTGATTAAGCATAAGTAACCAAGTCATTTATTTTTGAAAAGTATATGGGTGTTCGTGAACTGCATGAAATTTTTAATTTTTCTGTAATGTATACGTCTACGTAGCCCTACTGTGGCTAATGTAGCCACAGCAAAACTCAGAAATTCATAACGAGAGTAAAATTCTATGTAAAGCACAAACGCCTTCAGTCGAGAGTAAAAATTCGTTGACGCTAAAGTACCATGGAACATAATATTGTTAGAAATCTTTTTAAATATTTGAGTAACAGGTGATCAAGGACTTTCATACCTTCACAGCCAGAGGGATTGTATTCCTGAAGGTTCCAGAAAAGCGCTTTGCAGTCGTTGCATATTCTTCCTTGTACGCGCTCCTTGCACTGACACAGCTCACCAGCGGGCACAGAACCACATCCTAATTACAAGAAACAGTTTTGAATTAAACCACTTAATCCAGGTATGAGACGAAATAGTTTATTCATTTAAATATCTTGAAGAATGAGTTTTTTAGTCTTAGTTTTTAGCTCAATCTAGTACAATTCATGTGTAAGAGGGACACTTAATAGACCAGGTTTTATGAATCACACTTCATGATAAATGTTTTGAAGGGTTTTTTAATTTACTTAGTTTTTCAACTCACCAGCAAACGAGGCAACCACTCCCCTAGGGTCGCAGTTGCAGTCCTCGCAGGCAGGGTAGTTGTAGAATTTCTCCTTGCATCGGTCGCACTTCTCTCCGTCGAAGTTGGGGCGGCAGTGGCAGATGCCCTGGTCGTCGCACGTCGATCCGATTGACCCAGAGACATCGCAGTTACACGCTGTGGGTACAAATTTAGGTTAAGACTTAACTAAGGTCTAGATAAATTTGGTAAGATCTTGTTACATCATTTGTAAAAAAAAACTAACCATCTACGAAGAAGAATTCATAAAATCTTTGTCATTCAAAACATCATTGGAAGTATCCTAAACTGCGATAAACGTATAGATTATTCAATTATTATGATTAAATAAAATGGATTGGCTAATATAGCTTAGTATACTAACGCAAGCATTCTGGGTACTTGTAGTAGCCTGGAGAACACTGGTAGCATTGTTTCCCGCCGAAGTTGGCGAGGCAGTTGCACTTGCCGTCGGCCGAGCAGCTGGTCGATGTCGAGCCAGTGGGCGAGCAGTCGCACGGCACGCACTGCCGGTCCCGTCCGCGCACATCCATATAGAACCTGGTGAGAGGAAGTGGAACTTAAAATCAGAGGCATAGAGCTCTATTTCAGACTTATCCTTTTTTAATCTTTTATGTTATTTGCATTGTATGTTACTTATATATTTCGGTGAAAGATTGCAATTGAATTTCAAAGCAGTTATCCTTGACCGACTGAAATTATGCATACACGAACTAGTATTAGTTTACTGCGGCCTTCTGTAAGATAGAATTGGTTAGAAAGCTGATACAAAAAAAAACCGTTTGTTATTCACATGGCTATTCGTTTGTTTTTTGTTAATTTGACTGCAGAATATCTTTACCATGTTCAATAAAGAATGAAAAGGAGGACTATTGTCAAACATGCAGCAAACTTGCGGGCAATCTTTGAACAACCTAGTATGATAATAAGATTATAAGATGTAGAGAAAAGTCTTACCCAGATAAACATTGGTCGCATCTGGCTCCTCCGAAGCCAGTCTTGCAGATACATTGACCAGAGATGTCATCGCAAATAGCCGCTTGGGTGCCGCTCACGTCGCAATTGCAATCTGTATGACATATTCTTTATTTTTTATTTAAGTTATCTAAGAACGGATTGACAAGGACCGCTCTAGCAATAACCCGTCCGAAGCAGTCGCAACTGCTTGAGTAGTCCATGTTTATGTATAGAAGACTGTAGTTCTCTATGCTGTCGCAGCTTGAAGTAGTCCGTCCCTACAGGTTTAAGCTACCCGTGTATGGCCGCTTTTACGTTACTTAGATACTAGTATTTTTGGACTCTATTAAAGGTTATTTCAGTAGAAAAAGAAAATCAAAATTTACTTGTAAGTCTTATTGATACTCACGCTTGCACGATGGATAGTCGTAATAACCGGCCTCGCATTGGTTGCATGTCCGACCGGCGTACTTGCTCTTGCACGTACAGTTACCCGACTCCTTGTCACACACCTGGGACACCGATCCCACCCGGTTACATTCACAGTCTGCGAACGTTATGGATGGAAATTATAAAAGGTGTAGTGAGGCGTAATAACATCGAGAACTTGCACAATCCGATAAAGATTAAGGGATTGTCCTTAAGAGGCTAGCGAAGAATCACTAGTTTTACAAACAGGGCCGGATTTGAGGTGTGGGCGGCTGGTTGTTGACCCGTCCAAATTTGGTTATTTTTATTTCTGTTTGCCACAGCCCCTGTCCTAAATCCGGCCCTGTTTACAAAGGAACAGTCTCGCATCTAGCGCAAACAGATGGCAGTGCTCGCCTCGCCTCAAAACGCCCGAGACCAGTCAGTCTTATATTTTTTAAGCTAACTAGGTAATTTCAATTTTACTCACTTTTACATTCCGGGGAGTAATATCCGTCTGCGCAAATCATGCACGAGTCGCCTGCGTAGTTGTACTTGCAGGGGCACTATGAATAAATTAAGAAAGATATTAGGAATTATATTATATAATATTTGAAGTCAAAGCGGTGTGGCTAATTGGGTCGCAGCCATGCCTACCATTATATATAATAACTCATTTATTTAATTTGCGTGAATGGCTAACTTTATTTTTGCGTACAGTCCATTTTCTCTGTCTATAGTAAGTACCGATGAAGCTTTCGGTGAAGTTTACTCACTATTCCGCCGACGGGCGTGCAGTGAGATCCGTCGGTGCCATTCAGGTTGCACGTGCAAGGTTTGCAGTCAGGGTAGTCGAAATAGCCATATGCGCAGGAGTCGCAGTAAGGAGGATTGAACTCGGGGCGGCATTCACACCTGCCGGTCTCCTCCTCGCAATTGCCGGTCGAGAAATGCGGGTCGCAATCGCAGGCTGTGTCATATAGATTCATTTAATTAGGAATTTAGTCGAAGATGCTTGCATTCAGGCTTAGTATGATAATTTCTCATCATTACAACAGCCTAGAAAATATGAGGTAGGTTACCATATATTTTTTTGTTTTATCTGGAAGTCAGCCATATAGTTAGTATGCTTGACGTTATATTAACTATATGGCTCAAGAAAGGACATTGTTCTGCGTCCATACATAGTTAGCCTAAGAACCAACAATCATGAAATATTATTTCCTAGGTTCGAAATCGCAAGTAAATGACTGTAAAAACAAAGATTATTGACGGACACTTCTGAGAACTTAAATTATTAGGAAAACTATTTTTTTTGAGGTTATGTTTAATATTCAATGAAACATAGGTCAACCTACGAACTTAGCATGAACTCAGTTTGAAGTGAATTAATATTACAACTAATTCATATCATTCGGTGCGATTTTCAGAGTAACTATTAGGAAAAGCTTGCTTAAGTAGGAATCATGAATAAAATAAAAACTGTAGTTTTGCTTCTTATTATGTATTGACTATTTTTCACATAATTGTATCATAATGTATTTATTTGTTTAACACATGTATATTGTGTAAATATGCAGCGTGAATGTATATCAGGTGTTTTTGAATAATTTGACATTATGATCCTCTCAGGATGTTGTGGCACAGGTTCACTAGCACTTGGTAATAAGCTTTTTGGTTACATCGATGAGATATGTATATTAGTACAGTATAGTATATTCCTCGATATGTCTATATATTTATATAATATATATTTCTCCGTATAAAATTATAAATTTAACTGCCTCAAATAAAACAGCATAAAAATAATAAACTGTAAAAAAATGAATAAACAATACAAGTCATAATAAAGTTATAAATATATCAACCTCATCAGAATAAAAATAGACGAAAAAATGTTATAAAATATGTATATATATATATATCACTACTTCGGTTTTTTCGTGATAATTTACATGCATCAAATAAAAGATGATGAGCGGCGTTGAATTACCAATATAATAAATATAAATTATTTACAAACTAAACTCCTAACACAAGCAACTCAAGTTACTTCTAGTACGACGCGGAGCTATAACTGTGATCAAAGTTTTTTTTTTATTTGTTAACCGAGCCATCTATGCCCGAACGTAATCAATGAGCAGTGATACTGTTTTTAGTTCTACCCCCGACTTCAATGTATCTCCGTATTTAACCAAAATGTTATTTAAAATATTTTATGTTCTCATGGTAAGTGAATTTTGTAATTTTTTATGAGAATAAAGATCTAAAACCGTAAACCGTATATTAGATAGCCGAAATAGTAAAAGTTAAATTAAAGGAAAAACAATCGCAAATAAACACACACAACAGGTAATCCGAAACGAGAATTTTCCGTATATAAAAAGTACTGAAGAATGCACGAATGCCACAGATTACTACGAATGCAAACTGCCTGCACCACAACCACAGAGTATCGAGTTTATGCCGGCCCTTCACTTGACAACAGTTTGTCCTTGTCATGCTTAATAAGGAACGAAAAGGACAGACTGATGTCATGTTTTAAATAGCAAATACGAATAGCCAAGTGAAGTGCCGGCATTAGGAAGAAAGAGTGTTTTGTTTGCAGTGCTGTCATAGATTATACACATATTTATTGTCTCAGATTATTTATTAACTTTTTAATTTAGCTTACTTAACTGGAAGTGTCCGTCACAATCTAAATATTGATAATTATCGCAAAAAATATACTAAGAATTATCATAAATGCCAAATTGGTGTTGGTTCTTAGGCCAATTTTAACATTGTCCTTTGTATCTTAGAATTATTAAAATTCCCCCACCGTAAATGTTTGTTCTCGTTCTGCTTAACATTGAGCTACATAGCGACCCATTGTGAGTGCATTGGTGGCACAGGAATCGACCGATGCCACACAGGAATAACCACTATATCAAGGGTGACGAAGAAAAGTATAATATTTTTTTCTGACACACACCTATTAGTCTAGTCCCAAATTTTGTTGTACCCAGAACTTCAGCGTAGACAACACCTTGAAACTTAAATGAAGAGAGGATTCTTTATTGAGAGGTAGGGCACAGCGGGCTTTCAGATCGAAATGGAGCGCCCGTCTGGGGAAGAAACCTCCACCTTACAGAAGAACACAGCAAAATAACACTACCTTATTATTGTGTTGTGTTTCTGCTGGTGAGTAGGGTTTCAGGGCTCCGCAGGGTAGGGGATTGGATTCAGGCTGAGATTGTGCCACACTCAGTGCCCAATTGACCTATTGGAGGCCCTGGGCATTTTAGGCCTATGACTTCCGTTTGGTGATTTAACAGGAAATAGAGACTTTGTATTTGATATGAGGGGGCCCCCTATCGATCGCGGGGCCCTGGGCACTTGCCCAAAGTGCCACACAAATCTTCCGGCAAAATTTTCAAGAGCAATGCGTAGGTAGGTACTTCATTTATTATTAGATAATTTTTAGGGAATGTGCCGCCTAATAGAGAACTGTGACCGCTCACGCACGCCATGATAAGGAACGGAAGATACGCGGTCTCATGACTTCTCTACAATCGGGTCACTTGATAACGTTTGGTGATCTATTAATATTTCTTAACCGACTTCTAACCCTGATTGTGAAATTCTGAGGACGATACACTTTTAGTACCTACTAATTTAATTATTGTTAACAGCTTGCTATTCTGTAAAAATTAACTCAGTTTTCACGTCGGAATCTTCATTTGTTTTGAAATTAGAATACAAGTTGCAAATCCCATTGCGGATTCCGCGGTGAAAAGTGAGTTTGTTCTTACAGAACGCACTGGCAGTTCTAGATTTAAGACTCATTCAGATGATGTCATTTTTTGTACACACCAGAACAATAAAATAATGCAATAAATGTAGCTGAATGATGAAACTTTTATTATTTTAAGCAACCGGACTTTGACAAACATTCAATTGAATTCAAGTATTGACATGAAATAATTGCAAATGTTTTTTGTTTACACCAATACAACTTTGTTAAAGGGATTATTGATTATTCGTTCACGTTTTCACTTTGTCTAAACACAGACTTGTACGTGCGTGTACGAATGGAAAAAAATAAGATAATATAATTAATAGTTTGGCTTTTCTTACGTCTATCCTGCTTTAAAGTATTATTCTGTACATTTTAGTTGGTATGAATAGGTACTTTGTAACACTAAAATGACCTGAAGTTACTATTTCTTAGAATATTTTTGCAAACTACGATTATTTTCGTTCAGTTTACATATCAATTTCTAGTGTATTAGGTATACAATATTGTGTTTAATTTTTGGCGGTTTCGATGAATATCTACCCATGCACCAAACAGTGATCCGGAACACTTTAACTTTGATTTCACATATTTTCTAATTTCACATTAGAAATACATAGACTTTTTTAAACAATATAATATAGATTTTTTGTGACTTAATGAATAACTTAGATGTTTTTGTGTGCCAACTACACTTATGAACATTTGACTATAATGATATCCTAGCCTAGTTCTAAATACTCACGTCGGCATACGTCGATCTCGCCCCATTTCTTGCCATAGGGTCTGTAGAAGGTGGGTCTGCATTTGTTACAGTTGATGCCCTCAGTGTTGTGCTGGCAGTTCTTGCAAACACCACCTCCTTCGTAACGCCCGTGGATGTCGAGGGATTGGTGCTGCTCGTCCACTGATGCGTCGTACTCACACTCAGTGGTATGGTTGTGGCAGTTGCACGCTAAAGAAAAGTAGAACTTATTAAGAAATTTAACTAACTAAATATCAATAATCTGGATTCAAGGGCGGATCCAGGGGGGGTCATGGGGAAGAAGCAAAGCCCCTGGAGAACAGGTTGCTGAGTCGATGGCGCCGCAGCAGGTGCCTCCGGATGGGGAGATGTCCGAGTGACCTCTCGGTCTCTCGGTGTTTCCACTGTCGCCCCCGCCCGCCCTCGGTTCCGGTCCCTTCTCCTTGGAGAAGGGACTGGGAGCTGGGAGCGGCTGGGGGAGAGGACTGTGATGAGTGGTGCCCTTGATGCTCCGGGGCACCACCATCGGTGATGAATCCGTACGCGGATAATCACTGGCGGGGGCTGTGGACGACTTTTGATTCCCAGAGCCCCTGCACTCTCGGCACGCATTCTGGGGACTTCGGTCTTCAGAGTGCGTGTCGGGTGACCGGTGCAGGAGTATTGTTAAGTTTTTAGTGGGTAGGGCCCCCCGCCTCCCGAGCAGCCGCTGAGCCAGTCCTTGGGCTGGTTGCCGCCCTTGACTGGATTGCCTACCTTCCAAGGTACAGACTGTCATGCTACCGAAAACTCATTTTTTCACAATATAGTGTAAATCTTATATAAACTAAAAGCTTAAAATCAAAGCATTAACAATTGTCACTCTTCGCAAGCGAAAGTGTCCCAATAATGCAATACTCTCTTTTTCTTCTGTTCGAACCCTAGACAGCACTGGAAGCATTGCGGGCTACAGATGTTGTGATGGCAGTGGCACATCAGGATGCTGGTATCGCTCGCCGGTTCAGCCGGGTAGCAGTTCAGTAAAGTACTACATATACCATATCAATAATTAACAATTGTCACTCACGTTCGCAAGCGAATCTGTCCCAGTATTGTGATATCCTCCACTTCTTCTGCTCGAATCCTGGGCAGCACTGGGCACACTGCGGGCCACAGGTGTTATGTTGGCAGCGGCACACCAAGATGCTGGTGTCGCTCTCCGGGTCGGCCGGGTAGCAGTTGTCGGCGTGTCCATTGCACATACAGCGGCCGCCGATGCTGATGTCCTTTATACTGTAGAAGTACTACATTGAAGAGGAAAGAGAAATTCATTAGTTATTTTTAACTAAAAAAATCTCAACTCGGCCCAGTCAAGAATTGGAACAGTACTCTACGCTATCTAGACTATTAGGGAAAGGAATAATAATAACTCTTACTATACACAAAGAAGAATAAAGTGTTACGGAAGTATGAAAACGAAATATCGATACAAGATACATGTGAGGGAATACAGAATAGTAGGGAATAACAATAAGCTGATAACGATGACGTAAAGTACTGATATTGATTTGTGTGCACTTTTCAAAGTATCCAGAAATGTAACATCTCTCTGAACATCAGGTGGAATGCTATGTTTTGCCGTTATTGTGCTTCAGACAAGTTACTCGTATGATGTTGGTCCTGAGTCCCGAATGCATCTGTAGTGATTTGCTTTTTAGGTAATTTCCATAGAAAAAGCTTGTGGTTGTGTGAGTACATTTAGTGGTTAAAAATGGAGTTATCTTTCACCAGCTTCTACTAACTAGATCTGTTTAGAAGGTTTTCTCACCCGTCTGGTGACCGTCGGGTCTTGCCTGGCCACTGACATGAGATGCCCTCCCAAGTTCTTGGTCCTGAGGAGCCGTAAGCGCACATTGGTGGCACGCGTCCATTCTTGCAGCACCAGCGAGCTGAAGTATTTATTAGCCGACGGTCGGTAATTCAGCAAAGACACTGGGATCTGGAAATAAATACATCTTAATGAATAACGTATTTCAGTGCGACGGGATAGGACAAAGCTTTTTTCCGTTGTGTTATTTACATGTTAAAAGCCATTTTTCATTAACAGTTCACTAAATAAAACACTTTTTAGAGGGGTTTGAACTGTGCTGCGTAAAGGCTGAATTGGGAATAACTAAAAAAATTAAAGGCACTGCTTAAACCCGTTAAAAAGTGTTACATTAGGCATATAATCATTTAAAAATAATTATTTATCATTTATTTTATTGAAAATTCTTACCTCTCCGCCTTCAAGTGGCACAATTTTAGAGTACTCGGTGCTGCAGATGACCGAGTCGTCTCGTGTGATCGGCTGCAGACTCTCCTTGCCGAAGTATCTCTCACAGTCCCTACGAATATAGGCTAATTTAGTATACAGCTTCTGCTAAAAATAAGGGTACCACATAGACACGGCAACCACATAGTGGATCGGATACGGATATTTAATGCTAGGCTTATGGCGAGCCATACCGAGCTTACTGACTAGGCATCACTTGTTGAACAACTATCCGCTGACATTCGATCAGTTTTAGAAGTAAGAAGAGAAATATAAAAAAATACATGGTTCCGTTGCCGTTTTGCACCATGTTCCTTAGGAATAGCATATAGAAATGTTTATAATATCTTCTTGAATAAATAGGGGGCTCTCGTCTATTAGCGGGGTTATCTTCAGTAGAACTGAATTGTGATTGTGTTTAGGATGGGATCATGGATCTTTGCAATGGATTTAAGTGCATAGAGTGATCAAGAGCCTCTTGGCAGATGGTTATCTTCGAGTATGTACTAACGTCATAATCAACTCATTTTTTTTCTGACAAGCATCACTGCCATCCTAGTGAAGAATTGAGTAAGAGCTTTAGAAAATGGCTTTAAATGTGAAAACTTTAAAAGCCTTCTTTCTTTGTTCCGCTTGTAAGCATCGTCAACAGATAGACAACAATTACTCATGACTCGTTGGACGTTCGACATCCAAGTAGACTGTGGCCTATCTCTCCACCATTTATTTTGTGTAGCCATGGAAAGATATTTCCTCACTACGCGGTCATCGGGTCTCCGTATGACATGTCCAAGCCATCTCAGTCTGACTTTGACTATCTTATCTGTGATTGGAGAAATTTTAAAAGTTCCTCGAATATATTTGTTTCGAACCTCATCTGCCCGCTCTTCTTATCTGCAACGCAGCTGGCGTTACTAATGAACTTCATGGATACATACCTATATTTTTTTGGCGCAAACTAATTGTGACAATGAATTTACTCACTGCGTGCTCTCAGAAAAGTATTGCCAGGGTTTGAAGGTCTTCCCGTAGTCCGTGGACTTCTCAAGCGTCCAAAGCCCAGGTCGAGGCGAGTTGCCCATTTTCAAGAACACGTATGCAACGTGGAACTCCTGCCAATCAAACATAGCACAAACGTTAGTTCAGAGAACATGATATTACTTAATTATTGTGAATGGCTAATTATATATTTAGTATGGATATAATAGTAAAGGTATATTTTTTTGTTTCATTTTTATATTAAGTGATATATAAATCACAGATTGTAATGTTTAAGTATTTAGTTATTAAGTAAATTCTTTGAGTTTCTGTAAAATTATCCCGGTTGTCTGGTAGTTGTAGAGTTTAAATAACTTTCTCAAAAGCTTTTCATAAAATAGATGACCAAAAGTATATATTATAGGTAATATAATTTCGGAAGTCGTAGTCGTAAAGTCATTGGTCTCTTTGTCGGTATATTTAATCATTAGAATACACGTGGATTATACTCCTGAGGTGACAACTACTTTTAAGAAGTAAACATCAACTGGCATTAGTAGGTTGTCGCATCGAGCGCAAAGTAAGTTATTTCACGAGATTACTCACTTTAGCAAGGTCCGTAATCTACTTCTCTTTCAACTACCAATCTACCTATGCTGATGTAATAATGTGTTTGTTTACATTCTTCTCATCAGCTAAAAGATTTCCTGAATGGGTGGTATGAAAATATATTGGACGATTCAAAAGAACTTTCAATAAGTCAATTTGAATAAAGTATCATTTTATTTCATTTCAATAAAGAATAGCTTGTGTTCCTATGAAGTAACCAACTAACAAACATATTTTATTTATAACATTTGCATTATTTTTTGACAAATTTATTATTTTGTTTCGGCCATTTCCATCTTCAGACGGTAGTACAATATGTAATTATTGGTATGTGCATAGAATAACAAACAATACACAAAAGCCGGTGCTTTGAATATGCAACAATCATAAACTTTATCTCAATACCAAAAACTAAGCATAGAAACAGTGTGATGTGATATTTAAAAATAAAGTTGCCATATGACCTCGCCCTTACACTAACATACTTTTATTATCTGCCTGTAATTATGTCTGAACCGCCCACGTCATCCGGCGTGCTACTAATGTGATATCATTCATATTATCTGTCCATTCAAACGGGATGATAAAAATTTTGCTACTATAAAATTAGGTTTTACAACAAATAAACAAATTCGTAGTTGTATTATTATTTTAAGCATTTAACTGCTACATTTATAAATTTGAAGAAAAAAATCTGGATAAAAATCTACTCGGTCCAGATATCAGACAGGATCGAACCGGCACCTTCCGATTTCCGGGCGGGCTAAGAAATATAAGAAGAAAAACTAATTAGCAATTATGTTGTATATTGGAAAACTAAATGAGTATTATCTTACCCATATTAGAAATGTGAAAGTTTGTATGTTTGTTACTACTCAATCACGCAATAACTACTTAACGCATTTGGATGAAAGGTACAGATAAAGTTTAGGACATGGATTGAGATAAAATAAAATGTTAGGTTCGCGAAAAGGTAAAGTGATGAAGTCGCTCCACTGGTGTACTTTAAACTAAATAAGCTTTTTTTTTGCCTACACGAAAAAAAAAGAAATTTTTGTTTTTTTCCGGATTCGGAAAACTGCAGGGCTGCTTTCAAAACCTACGCTCTAAGTGCAAACTTTTACCCTGACGTTTAAATTTCGACATAAAATGTATGAAGCTTATGTCAAAGTTGCTACCGAATTCGAATGTGAGATTTAAATTGTGCAGAATCGATGAACAGCGGGTTCTATTCTGCAGGTGCTATTTTATAACAAGAAACTCACTTTTCTCCGCGGAATCCGTGTGGGATTTGAAATTTTTATTCTATTTTCAAGTCACATGCAGATTCCACGGTGAAAAATTGGGATTGTTCTTACAGAGTAGCACGGCTGATGATTATTTCAGTAGAGAGCTGAAAGGTTACAATTGGAGTCAGTCAAATATGATATCTAACTACCATTCGAGGAGACCTTTTTAAGTTTGATTGAATTTGATGCTTTCTTTTGGACGTTACTTAACGTAACATTAAATTTTATTTGTCAGCTCGGAATATAACTTAATTTACCAGTGAAAATAATTATTTTCGTATTAGGTATGTTTGTGGTATGGTAGCAGCTTTAATGCTCTGTGTAGGCAACCGAGATTATTCTGTTAGGTAGGTAGATACTGAATATTGGCATTAAGTACTATCTTTACCTTTAACATGATAAAAAACATAATATTTAATAAAGTATTGTAAAATCAAAAACAGTAGCAATGCCACAATAAACAATCGCATTTGCATTGAAAATACCACGCCTTAGGCAGCGTTGTTTCATCGATAGTTAAATTTGAATATACATAGTTTTATAATGCCACGTCAAATACAAAGTAAATGTTATTTTTTTTTATATAGGATTTAACTACAGTCAAATTTAACTGTAGATGAAACAACGCTGTTTTAGAAACATTGAAATAAATACCACGCTGTTATTATTATAACGGACAATTATTATTTTAAAATTTAGATAATACTGATATGGTATTTGTTAAAATTGGAAAGCTGTATTTTTTACCAAATACTTACTTAATTGTCATAAGTTGACATAAAAAATACGCCATAAACTCTGGACGCTTATAGGTATATTTGAAATTTAGGTCTTCATAATAGAAAAAAACCCTGTTTTCTACAAGGAAGAAAAATGAATGTAAAATAGAGACAAAACAGCGTAAACTAATTAAGTAAACTGCTCAGCTTATACTTTTTCACCTAATGAAAGCACTTATATTAACTTCATAGTTGCGATTTAAATTTTAATGTTACTTAACTAACCTAGAGCAACATAACGACAGAATTTGATCGCTATCGCTATTAAACGGCGAAATGTATCCACCAGTTTATTGTCGAAAAAAATGCTGCTCTCATAATATTACAAAATGACAACTAAGTTTTGATCTTTACTTGAGTATAGTCAAAAAGGGATGTCGCTATGTGCTATATATAGAATTATCCTTTTCTGACTATACTCAAGACTAGATTCGTTACTGAGAATCGTTCTATAATACGGGCCTTAGTTTCTAGAGTTCTGTTTTACTTGTTATTGCTTGTAGTCGGTATTGGAATACCTAAGGCTCATATTACAGATTGACAACTAAGTGTTGATTCTTACTTGAATACAGCTAGAAAGAGATGTCGCTATATGCTATACATAGCATTATCCTTTTCTGACTATGCTCAAGACTAGATTAATTACTGAGAACATTTCTATAATACGGGCCTAAGTAAGATAAACACAGCTACTGGGTAACAAAAAAAAATTACAATGACATAATGAGATAAGTAAGCAAAGCGATTACTAATGCTTGTACAAATGCAGAATAAGACTCGTTATTAGGTATGCTTACTAGAGTAGTTTAAGTAGGAATAAATTGTTAGAATAGTTGCACTCGGATTGAAATTCAATTCGCTTTGTAAAGCATAAAAGCATGAATGACAGAGTTTTTGCATTTTGCTAGCTGCGCATTATGACTGAGTTATTGCATATTGTAGTTATATGAATTCCTCGGTGACACATAGATATAAACATAAAAAAACAAACACACGGCTGTACTCAGAGTCGACTATTAACAAATTAGATTATTTTTATACGAATTATAAAAGTTTGATCACACTTTGAACTACTGAAATTTATCTTAACAGAAAATGTTTAATATCAACTTTAACTAAAATTGATACTGTCACATTTTTTGCGTTAGTAATATTATTAAAATACAGTAAATTAATTTATATTAAATTAAAGCTTCTGAGTAATGACGCTGTTATACAACATGCAGGTAATTATTTTTAGCACTCAAAATAATATAGTGAGAACAATGATATGACATGAATACAGTCCATATAAAATTCGAAAACCTAAAAAAAAATATGTAGCAGTAGTTAAAAAAAAAACAAAAGAAAAGTTTACTAGAAAAAAAAATCCACGCGGACTAGGCAGCGGACGGCTTGGTCCGCGTGGATTTTTTTCTAGTAAACTTTCCTTTAGATTTAAACATCTAGCAGTTAAATACTTAAAAAAAACATAAAAACAAAAGAACTTAAGTTATCAGCTGTATTTGATATAACATACTGTAATTATTGAAATAAAAGAAAACAGAGCAAAACTAGTTATTCGACCACTGTAATACATTAATGAACATTATATTAAGTATCATCCTAACAACCACATTTACATTTACAAACGCCTTCTATTTGTGATTGTCTTAGTTATTGTAACGGATGGATACAAGTTTTGACCACCTGTAATAAGAAGACAAGTGGTATTATTTTAGTTCGTGGTCAATACTGGAATAACGCCTGCTTTATGATTTAAAAAAGGCAATTAAGTGCCAAATTATCTGTGTGTTTTATGTATTGTGTATCAAACATTTAATTTATTGCATTGAATAGGAAAGCTTGCGACGTTAATTTATTAAGGTTTTGTTTATATTATTTATAGTCTCAGAAGTTAGCGGGTTCGGTCATCAACTAGAATCATGGTTAGATAGTTGTGTACGTTAGATATCTCATTTATTTCAGTTTCTACTTTGTTTTAGCGAACAAAATTATTTATTGCGACGAATGATTGCAAATACGGCTGAACGTAAGACGTAAGTTCAATCAAACTTGGTGCTGTCTTTTTCTTCACGTGATTAATAAAATGAAGCTTTGTGAAGCACAAGCGGCCGCCCGCAACGTCGTACGCGTGGAGGTGGTTAGAAATAAAGGTTCACTGCTCGTTCCCCGGAGGTGATAGCGTCATAATATGTAGCCTATATGTTGACCCGACTTCTTAATAATATTCGTGTCCAATTTGAAGTAAATCCATGCAGTACTTTTTAAGTTTATTCCGGACATACATACAGACAAACAATCTAAAAAACTATATTTTTGGCTTCGGTATCGATTGTAGATCACACACACCCCAATTGTTCTTTTAAATAAATATTTAATGTACAGTTTTGACTTTCCCACCATTTTATTTTATATGTATAGATTAAACTTAATAGACAACTGTTAGTGAAGATT